CAAATCAAGGGCTAAGGCTAGGGAGATAGCTCAGTGGCTTAAGTCCCTGCCTGGCAAGTGCAAGATCCTGAGTTCGATCCCCAGTAGCAGAAAAGGTGGGGGAGTGGTAGAAAGGCCAGTGCCTTAGAAAGTGCTTAGCTTTGTTCTGGCAAATGGCTTGAGCTCCATAAGTATAAGCTAATCCAGGAAATGGAGACTAGGTACAAGGAAGGAGGAAGAAAAGATTCTATGGGAAGGGAAACAGGGTAGGGGTGGAAAGGGAGCAAAGGAAAGAGGAAAATGGAAAAGGAGGAAAGAATGGAAACAAAGCTATTATTATTATTATTATTATTATTATTATTATTATTTTATTGTTTGTCTGGCTCAGCCCAGCCTGAGGGCAGGGCTGGCCCAGCATGTGGTGCCGGGGATCAAACTGCAGTCCCCTGCAGCTGCCTAAGCCCGCCTAAGCAGGTGCTTTAGACTGCTGAGCTATCTTGCTGGCCCAAACCAAGCTTTTATAAATAAGAAGGAGAAGAAGAGTTGGATGGAGCAGAGGGGAATGAGGAAAAAAGAAGGAGCAGGTTGTATGGTGTACAGATACAAGCTCCCTGTGACAAATGTCATCATTAGGTATATCAAAAGTATACTGATAAAATTAATTTAAAATTCAAAAAATCAACATAATACACTCTGATTTCAAATGTGTTAAATGTGGAAAATTAGCAAACGTAAAAGACAAGGGTTATAGCACAGCTGTGGAGTGCGAGGTCAGATCGCGTCTCCGTTCCCTCGAGTGGTCCTTCTAACATCCCCTTACCCTCTCTCCCAGGCCAGAGAAACACAACCAAAGAAAGTGCCCCTCCCCTCTGCACAGGGCACGGCTATTTGAATGCATATTTTCATTCTCAATAGTGAGCAATGAAGTCCAAATTGAGTAACAACGAAAGGAGAAAAAATGGTAAAATATCTCATTAATGTTTGCGCTGATTTTCACATTGCAGTGGCAGTCTTTTGGGCATGTTGAATTAAAGAAATATTTTAAAAGTCAATTTCACCTGTTTCTTTCTGTACAGTTTAACGGGACTCTGGAGCTGCTTCAATTTCCTACTCAACTTGTATTTATTTCTAGCAGAAAACCCAACTCCACAACCTCGGCAAATAGTGAAGTGCAGTTTCCTCTTTTGTAAACTGTTATAGGGATCACAGCTAAGCAGGCTAAGAATTGGGAAACATCTGGATTATAAGGAATTTCCCCAAATAGTTGGGTGACTAAATAATTTACTGCATGGAGCACTCAGATAATGTCAAAATTATTACTAGTATCTTCTAGAGAAGCGAATCTGAGTGGAGACGGACCACAGAGCTCAGTGGCAGCCTGCGTACTTCATTAGCAAGTATATTACTTGGAAGGTCTTTGAGCAGGCAGGAGCTGTCGCCCGCAGAGGCTGGTGGTCCTGCTGAGGTATGGATAAATGTCAGACGCTTCTAGTACAGAAAGTACGGGGCTGCGGAGATAGCTCAGTAGAATAAGTGCCTGCCTGGCAAGTGCAAGGTCCTGAGTTCAATCCCTGGTACTGCAAAAAGCAAGCAAGCAAGCAAGCATGATTTCTAGGTGGAAAAGCAAGTCTTCCTCCACCCCAGTGACATCACAATATGATTGGATGTCGTGCCAAGAAGCTGCCATGGGTTAGAAAAGGAAAGGATGTGCTATTTCTGATGCTTGGTGGTCTGTTACAAACTCACAGTGCATTTGCATGATAGTTTTGCATATTCATGAGACATGTTTTGGAAGGATACATCTTTAAGTGGTTAGTGCTAGGTGTTTCTGATGATGGTATAGAAATTAGGGAAGTTTTTGATTGCTGTTGTGCTACTTTCCAGAGGATTTAGAAACACTGGATAATATACAATGTTTTTATAACAACAATATATGACCATTTAGAAAACAATGATAAGCCCAAGGAAACACCAAGCTGTCAGTAGTGCTTCAGGGATCTTCCAAAATAAGCAAGAGACTATCTTGTATTCTTGTGAGGGTCCCAGGATGTGTCCCCTGGAGTTGGGCCTGTCTCCAGCCACATCCTGAATGTCCGCTCTGATTCAGCATCGCCACAGAGAGCTGTCCTGGAGCAGTGGTCAGCTGCCTGTGCTCCTTCCAGGCATAGGGAAGTACCCCTGAAGCAGCTCTGGCTGTCCAATAGCTGTTCAGTTACTCAGGTGTCCACGGTTGGCCCGGGTGCCCTGTCTCCCTGCACCACCCACCACCCTGGTTCCAGGCCAGACACCTGCCCCAGAGGACAGCAGTTGAATTGTACTGCTCAGAAAAATGTAACTGAAATGAATGGAGTACTGGTCCTGGGGCTGTCTAGGAGACTGAGGAGTTAGAGGCGCCAGAGAAAAGCTGACAGCACAACAAATGAGAGGGGTGCAAGGAAGCTGAAAATGGTAGAGACAAGAACGTGAGCCCCAATCGTCCAGCCTGGCTAAGCTCTGGGTGTTGCCCAGATGCTCTGGTCCTTGGAGAAACCCCTGGGCAGGATAAGGGTGTACTCTTCTCTCTCCAAGTTGTCTACCCCGTTTCAGCAGCTTACAATATGAAGCTCCTAAAGAGTCTAGGTAAAGTGTCCATTGCCTGCACAGAGCTCAAGGGATCAGGAATCATTCTCACTTAGGAGGGTTAAAATCACTTCAAGATTAGTCTCAGCTTCTTTCCTGTAACAATATGTTTGTCAAAACTTTGCTCCTGCCACTATTACGAAATCATACAGAGAATAAAATTATTAGGGCACAGTTGGAGAACTCGGGCAGTGGTGTGACTGTTCTTGCAATCCACTGCATCATGCCAGCCTCCGAGCCCTGGTCCCCCCAGCCTCCGAGCCCTGGCCCCCAGAGATGGGCTCAGCACCAGCGCACCCTGTAGCTCTCTTACACAGCTAAGCCTGGCCCACTGCAGCCTGTGATAAAAATAATCTACACCATTTCTAGTAGGAAACAGAGGAGGGCGCCCTAAGAATGTTTAACCAGTGGCCAGCGCGGCTGTAGCGCACCTTTACACGCATGCTACAATGACTGCTTTCTCTCAAACATAAGAAAGAAAAAATGGTTAATTTTATATTAAAAATTGTTCAGTGGAACCACACCATAGTGGATAAGATCAAGAGTTTCTAGGTAAATCGCTGAGAAAGAGGCCAAGTTGAAATAAAATAGTATCTGCCAAACTTACAATGCTTTCCATAAAAAAATCGAAAGGGTGGTTAGAAAATATTCTTACTGAATGACTGTGGAAAGAGATTAGGAAAAGTAAATAGTAAAATTAACCTCTAAGGATCAATTTCTGTAAAGCAAACATGAATATTATGAACAATACTTCGTAGTTTACAACAATCCAAAGAAATAGGTACTTGTACTTCCCCTAGAACTCCAGCAGGAAAACTAGCCTTGTCCTAATTTTTTTTTTTTTTTTTGGTCTTAAAAAAAAAAATCTATACTGTGTAGTTCAGGCAGGCTTTTTTTTTTTCAAGGATTATAAATCTATACTTTTATTACAACAAAAACTGACAGTGTAGTATGAAGTTTACATTTAAAGAAAAATTTCACAGAAATCTAACACATGCCTAAAAAGACTTTACAATGTAGCTCAAGACAGTGTCAAGAACTGCTGGATCTTATGACTGAAGGCAGAGCAGTTTGAGCAGCAGTGTTAGCTCCTTTTCACAATTCGCTTTGTGTTTTAAAGTGAACCGCTGCCCCAGCATGAAAGTTCCATCTCCTGAGACCAGGGCTTCTGAAAGCGCTCAGCCCGACTGACTCAATGAAACTTGTGCTGTCAGTGACTGAACTCTGTCACTAAAGGTTTCAGATCCAAGCTCAAAACCCAAGGCTCCGATTTTCCACCCTAAGGGTCTGGACCACGCTGGTCCCAACTCTGCTGGCCTCCCTCAGTCCCCCAGCACTTGTGCCGCGGTGTGGACGGCCAAGCAGGTCCTACCCTAACTTCCTAACTCCTGTCTGATTGAGAATTAGCACCACTGAGACAGAGGGTCTGCCTGTGGACACCACCGGGGACGGTCCCGCCCCAGTCTGCCTCCATCTCCGTAATGGCTGCTTTGGTAATTTGGGAGCTGCTCAGTCCTTGGGGACAATGTTCAGGTCCCACAGGGACCCCTGGCTCGGGGTTTTGGGCATTCACAGCTTGTTAACCAGTCTCTCACAGTCCTTGTTTAGGGTGCCAATGACATTTTTTGAGAAGGTAAAATATTCTGAACGTAGAACCAAAACATGAGTTGTTCTGGCCACTGTATCGTAGTCAGGGCCCAAATTTCCGCCAGAACAACCCTACCCATCTCCCTCCCACCCACCCTCCCCTCAAATGATACACCAGGAATAGCCGAAAACTACACACATGCTACGCTGTGAAAATGTGGCGCTAACACTATCGGGAAGAAGGCTGTGGGTTGCGGAGATGCTCTTTGAAGAAGACAGTGTCTTTCTGCTCCCCACACGCCTGCTCCTGCAAGTTCTGTCCTTCACAGAAGGCCCTTCGCAGGCCAGCAAGGTGCCGAGCGGCCACGGTGGCTGCTCCCTGCCCGGGGCAGGTGTGCACAGCTGGAGCAGCTGGCCAGCACCCGGGCCGCGGCAGGGATGGAATGATACTGGCTCTTCAAAGGACATCTTCCAAGCCACCTGTGCGGGATCAGGACAAGCAGAATGCCTTTCCACCCCCTGGAGACCCAGCTAGAGGCGACGGGCTGGTCCTTGGGAGACTCAGGTCTTGTCGTCTTTTTTGTCGTCATCCTCCGAAGGGGAGGAGTGCCACGTCAGCCGCTCCTCGTAGAAGGAGATGACAACCTGTGGGCACTTGACGTTGGCCTCCTTGGCAGGGACCAGGTCGGCCTCATCAGAGTTCTTCCATTTCGTGAGGAACATGAGCTCTCCACTCGAGTCCGTGGCACCAGTAATTCGCTCTGGCTCCAAACCCCGGGCAAAGCCTCGTGGCTTCTCCGACTCTTCTTTCTTCTTCTTTGGTTTGCTCTCCTCTCCCTTATCTTCAGAATCCGAGTCAGCCTTGCGCTTGCCTCCCTCTGATTTGTCTGTCTCATGTGCTGTTTTCTGAGACTGCAGGAACTCAGCAATGAGGTCAGGGCAGTCCAGGTTCTCTTCGGGCTCCCACGTGTTGTCCTCATCCGAGAAGCCCTTCCACTTGAGCAGGTACTCCACTTTGCCCTTCACCACCTGGCGGTCCAGCACCTTCTCCACCACAT